AACTGGCACACAAACCAATTAATATGCAGTTATTGGGAATTTTTTTTCTTCACCAAAGACATGTAGCAAAATATATTTTGCCTAAATAACAAAATAGTTGATATTTTTTAATGACAAATATTCATTTATTGCGCAAAAAAAAAATTTATGTACAGCATTGCATGACCACGCAATTGTCAGTTAAACTAGCGCAGCATAAATATCATAAATTGCAGTATCTATATCCTAGTTTGTAGTTTGGTTCACACAAAGCAATCAATATACACTTCTTGGAATTTTTTTTTTTTTTTTTAACCAAAAGATATGTAGCAGAATACATTTAAATTTGAGTAACTTTGCTTTTACTATATTATTTTTTATAAAGTGAAAAAAAAAAAAAAAAATATATCTAAATTTTTGGTCTTTGTTTATAGCGCAAAAAATAAAGCGCACAGGTGATCAAATACCACCAAAAGAAAGCTCTATTTGTGTGGGAAAAAAAGGGACATCAATTTCATTTGGGTACAGAATTGCATGACCACGCAATTACCAGTTGAAATAGTGCGGCACCAAATAGTAAAAAAAAGGCCTGGTCAGGAAGGGGGGGGGGGTAAAATACTCTGGAGGGCAAATGTTTATCACTACATGGGTTATGCTACCACCGTCAGGTGAATAACACTGGACCGAAAAAAGGCAGGAAGCAGCACATAGGCATAACCCCTCCCAGCTCAACTAAGCATCAGTTTTGTAGCAAGCAGTAAAGGAGCAGACAAGGGACAGGGATTGGTTTCCTGTGATATACTCCCAAGATAAAAAACAAAACAAAAACACAACTTTACATGTAAACCAAAAATCCACATTTCTTAATTGTATTTCACAAAAACACTGAGAAAATAATATTCATGCCAACTTGTGATAGCCCAAAGCAATGAACATGAGGGGGTGGGTAACAGAAGCAAAACCAGCACACCCCAAAAGTCAAAACAGAAGAGGGGAAACTGCTACAAAGCCACCTGCAAGACATTCCACCCAAAACTGGTGGCAACAGATGCATAAACATCTACCTGGTAAATTGTGTGAAGCAAAGACCAAGTAGCAGCTGAAGGCAAGTTTCGCACAGGTTTCAGTTTTGTATTACAGCAGTGTGAACAGCAAGCTTTTGCAAAGCATTTGCAGTCCTTTGCGCAAGCTGTTGAAGCTTTTAAAAAGCACCCTTCAGCTCCAATTTGTAAATGCTGAAAACAGATCCCAAAAACAGGATGTTAGCAGGCTTCAGCACGATTTGAAAGCATGCTGAAGCCTGGTAGCAACTTGTTTGAAGTGACAATCAGTGCTCCCCTTAAGATGTGTATAATATTCCCAAACATGAGCTTAAGGGCTCTTTACCGTTTTAGAGAAAGCTGCTTGAAGCTTGTTCACCTTCCAATATGACAATTCTAAGTACACAGCCAAGACAAACACAGGAGTGGAGTAGGGACAACTCTTTGAATGTCCTAGAGTGGCCCAGCGGCCAGAGCCCTGACTTGAACATCTCTGGAGAGACGCAAAGAAGAATTTGCCCTAATCCAGGTGTGCAAAGCTTATTGCGTCATACCCAAAAAGATTCTAAGCTGTTGAGCACCTTTGGCAACACTTACAAAACGTACTGAGTAAAGGGTCTGAATACTTAAGTACTTGTGATATTTCACGTTTTTCTTTTTAATAAATTCACAGACATTTCTAAAATTGTTTTTCCCCTTTGTCATTATGGGGTACTGAGTGTAGATTGAGAGAAAATAAAACAAATTTAAACAACTGTAGTATCAGGCTGCAACATAAAACTGAAAAACGTGAGGGGGGTCTGAATACCTTATGAATGCACTGAAGATCAGGGAAAACTGACCTCCAAGAATCACTAGGGAATTCACTGCAAACAATGGATCTCTGGTTTGGGACACAAACTTGTAGTGAATATCTACACCACGAGATCCACGTCTGGATCCCACCACCAAAGGATCTCAGCAAACATCCCCTCAAGTGCCCATTCGTCTGCATTCAGTTGAGCAAGTCCACCTGACAATTTTCCACTCCTGGAATGTGCACAGCAGAGAGGGATAGAACATAAATTTCTGACCAAGACAAGATAGGTCTGCTTCTTTTCCGAGCAGCGCTGCTTCTTGTACTTCCTTAGCCACAGCCATAGTATTGCCTGACTGCACCCTGATGGGAGGACCCGAGGATGGGCAGACCAGTGTAGGAGAGCCAGCTGTAGACATTGGAAGTTTCAGGATATTGACTGACAACTTCGGGCTCCACTGACTACCACATTCTGTGAACTGAGAGGTTCTCCAGAACACCTCCCTAGCCTGAAAGAGCTGTCACATGTCAAGACCTTCCAATTCAGCGGAACAAAGGCTTTTCCAGTATCCAGCATTTGTGTGGATATCCACCATTCCAGAGCAGACCTGGTTTGACAGTCAAATGCATTGGTAGATCCAAGGACTCCTGATTGTCCTAAATTAACAGGATATTGACTTACATAGCTTCACATGGAGTCAAACTGGGCAAGCGTCCCAATAATTGCTGTGCCTGGTGTTGAAGTGGCAACTTCTACTATGCAGGGATGGAAGAATAATAGCTCCAAGCAGCACAACAGGATCCCCATGCTGTGTAGACTCAGGGCTAGTATTCAAAGACAGTTACCAGTCAGTCCATAGCTAAAGAGCCAGCAGGCCTACTTTTCACTCATCACTGTGGGCATGCCCCACAGGGCTTTCAGGGACCCGATATTTTTCCTGAGGGATCAATGCCATGAACTTGTATGGCACTCTGCCAGCAAGGTCACTGGGTACACTGTACACCATAGATCGCTGCCCCCAGGATCCCATGCACCGACATTAAAGGCCTTCCCTGCTCATGTACGGTTCGGGTACAGTCCCTTTTGGCCTGCTGGCTGCAAAAACAATCTGGCTAAAGCTCACCTCTGCCCCACCATGGGTGTAAGGAATAGAGGCCATAAAAGATCTTCAGAGACACAGGGAGGCATTTCCTTAACCCAAGGACACTAGATAAAAATTTAGCTGGGAGGGGTTATGCCTGGGTAGATTCTTGCTTTTTTTGGTCCATACCCATTCACCTGAAGGCAACATAACCCAAGTAGTCATGAATATTAACCCTGTGATGTTCGATTAAGAAATAGGAACTTGAAACGTTACAATTTGTGAACTGCCATTTGTGGCAAATGTGCTGTTCAGAAAAGTGAGAAAATCACATAAGCATCAGTGCTGGATAGTCTTAACATACAACTTACACTTTTTGTTTTTCCCTAGGTGGCTCATACAGCACAGAGACAGAGGAAAGATTTGAACAATTCAGTGGACTCATCAACAACCAACTGTCAGCCCGGTAGACCTACAGGGAACAAAGTTCATCTCTTCCACATCCAGAAGAGAACAGGATCAGCCTCAAGTGCTCTAACAGCAGGCCTGATGAGGAGGGTTGTAAAGCTGTATCTTCTGGATAATCTTACATTCCTTGATACTTGGCAACAAAAGCAGACCTCAAATGATGAGCAGTCTGAATCAGTATGTTTTACATCCTATCCACTCCATAAAAGTCACTAAAAGGAAACCCCACTATCAGATGTACCAACGTGACCGGATTCCCCGACCAGTAATCTGGATGCACGCAACAATTTCAATTCTTCTAAAGAGACTGGTTAAGAAGAACATAGTAAATGCCTATTTAAACTAGGGCTGTGAATCTGATGAACTGAAGACTGTTGCTGCAAATTCACTTGATTATACACTCAGCAAGATGTACATGGTGTGCTGACAGTGGCGTGATAGTAATCACTGAAGGGCTGCCATGAACGCTGAGTGGTTGTGTCACTCAGATGTACAGCAGCAGGCACTGCACCATTAGACCTAGCCAACTGACCCCGTTTCAGTCTCTCCCTGCACTCTGGGACCATTAAATCCACATACTATGGATTCCATATGGCATTTATGGTGCTATTAACTCTTCTGCCAGTGGATCCTTCAGCACTTTGCTGTTCTCCAGGTCATGCGCTTTGTGTCCGTCAGACTTGCTCATATTCATGGCAGAGCTGTTATGTACTATGTATTGATATGTGAAATACACATCCTGTACACCCTTCCAGCTTCTCCCACCAGTCTGCAGTAAAGGTACCAGCACTGCATCCAATCCGTACATATATATCTCCTTTCTGTGTATGTCTAGGAATAAATAACTTATTAATATTTACATTTGCTCTCAATCACTTAATGCCCAGTATGCATGCACACACACAAGAACCACTGCATATACTATTACCAGGCAGAAAGGTGAGACGTGAGTGGCAGGTCACAATGGTGAGACACCCTGCCTAATGCTTGAGTCTAAAACCTTTTCTTCTGTTATCCTCCTTCCTTGGTTATTAGGGGAATAAACCTGGTAATAAATCTGTGTGTATCATTTCCTGCAAAGGGATATGGGAGACAAATGAAATGAAGACATGACTCATCCAGCTGCCAATTATATCATGTTATGGGCACATGCTAAAAACATGGCATCTGCATTGAACAGAGAAAGAATAAAAAGTTTTGCAGCAATATTTCAAACAAAAAAGTTAACTTCCAAGTCTCTGCTGCTTCAAGGCACATGAAAAAAGGCAGAGGATGGTGGCCTATGTGGCTTCTTTAACAAGGATTTATGTGGCAATATCCTTCCTTGCCTAATTAAGCAAACAGCTGATGAAACAAAGAAAGCATAACATCTCCCAGAATAAATTTCATGGGCTTCCATACTGTAGCAGGTTGTCTCCTTCATACACATTTTATATTTTCCGAGCAAGGCAGATCTAAGGAAAGTAAGAAAATCTGTATATTGTTAAAGGCCACCCTATGTGCAAAGCCAAATTCCTTTAACAGATGCACTTTGTTTGCCACGTATGCCTGTGCTGCACCTCTACCGTGCAGCAAACCATGTAGAAAGTGCACCGTGGACTCTTCGTGAACACTCAACAGTGAAAGTTTCCAAGCTCACTCCTTCACAGACTGATCAGCCTCTTGTTTCTGTTGCCCCAGTGCTCTGTTCACCATTCTCTTTGCCACAGATGCATCTGTTTGGGGTCTGTCCTTGCAGGGCTGCAAACATGCTGGAAAAGGAGAAATATTCTAGTTACATCACAGGTGAGATGGTAAAGTAAATATAAACCGAATGAAATTTAACAAAGCCTATGTATTGTAATCAACTGCCATTACTTTTCCTAAAATAAGATATTCACTATTTTCATGCTTTTTTGCATCTCAGTACCTTCCTCAGACACAATCCATCTACATGAACTTCCTTCAGTGTTGGCTGCACATCAATGCTCAAGACCAGAATTCTAATGTCTTTGTAGTGTTCACTAGCAGCGCATGTGACAGGATGGCAGTGTAACCGCACAGCTGAGAAAGTGGTCACCTCAAACAGGAAGTACCTGACCAAGGACCTTCATGGCAGGATCACCAGGCTCAAGTATTCTTTAACTGAAATATGCAGATTTGAAATTAATAAAACACCTTTTAGAATTAACATGGCAAAGGCTATAGAAGATTTCACTCACTGGAATTAGATCCCCTTCAGTGGGAAAGGGGGGAGAGTATGAAGGACTTACAGTATTCCTTCTACTGGCCCTGTATCATCTCTTAACAACTCTGACTGAAACCAGAGTTCTGGAGTAACAGTGTTCCACTTATCTTTCTGCAAGTCGGTAGTGTCAGTTTCAGCTCTGCTATGAGGGCTCTGATATGTATTGCTTAAAAGAGAAGTATGGCCAAAGTCTTTTGGTTATACTTCTCTTCTGGATTACAGGAGTGCATTTGTTCTACTGCAACCCAGAGTCAGCCAATGGTAGCTGACGAGAGAGAGACAGAGATCCCACAGATGATGACCCGAAAGCGGCCTTAACACCATGGATCATGCAGACTTCTTATCTTCTTCATGCAGCCCTCACAGCTGCCAGATCAACATGGTGCCAGCATGGCGTGAGGGGACCAGGAGCTACTGCCCACAACTGGGACTGAAGGCGGCTCATCCCAGGAGATTGAGGAATCAGCAAACACTGCTATGCAGCAGCCTTCCTCCCCTGCTGATAGAGGTATCAGCACAGTCTCCTACTAAATTTCCCTCTATGAAGAAAAAGCATGGCGCTGAGATTTGTAGTCCCATGGCCAACAGTCTCCCTACACAAACACTGGCAGCATTCCCAACATCAGACAACCCTGCTTCAAAACATTCTTTAAACCACTTGTCAACACGGTTGTCCAGTTCTGCGAGGACATCATTTGACATCCTCCTAGAAAGCACCCGGTGATCTCTGTGATCGCTGTGTCCTACGAACACAGCTGATCACATGATGTGGTAAAAAGGCCAATCACAGCGGTCTTTTACCATGTGATCAGCTGTGTCCAATGACACAGCAGATCACCAGTAAATGCAGTTGCTGGTTAACTGGCAATTGTCAGAGGATGGATCACAAGTGCCCAGTAGTGGCATCCAGCAGTGCCACCCACCAGTGCCCATCATTGTTGCACCTCAGTGCCACTCCATCAGTGCAGCCTCATTAACGCACATCAGTGAAGGAGAAAAAATTACCAGTTTGCAAAATTTTATAGTAGAAACAAAAACTTTTTCCCCCCCAATTTTTGCTCGGTTTATAGCAGCAAAAAAAAAAAAAAAAAAAAAAAAAACCAGCGGTGATTAAATACCACCAAAAGAAAGCTCCATTTGTGTGAAAAAAAAAAAAAAAAAAAAAAAGTGATAAAAATTTCATATGGGTACAGTGTTGCATGACCGCGCAATTGTCAAACTGCGACAGCACTGAAAGCTGAAAATTGGCCTGGGCAGGAAGGGGGTATAAGTGCCCGGTAAGCAAGTGGTTAAAAGGCTATGTTACTCTCCCTGCAGGCCGACTTACAAAAGGAATTATGCTCCTCTCTCACCTACATGACAAAATTGAGCTTCTAGAAGAGCGGACTGAGCATATTGAGCAGCACCTTTCCTCAGCCACCATAGCCCATAATGTGGTTGTAGATATCCAGGATGAAGAAGCAGAAGCACTAGACAACTGCACTTAAAAGTTGTGGACCTGGAGGATCGCTCCAGATGAAACAATATTAAAAGATGGGAAGAACCTGAATCTATAACCCCTGTTGAGTTAGTATTCCTCCACCAACTATTTCGCAAACTCCTGCCCGCGCTCTCACCTCAAGACATGCTGATAGACAGGGCTCATAGGATCCACAAACTGCAACACTTGCGGTCTTCTCTGCCCAGGGATATCCTAGCCCGTGTCCATTTTTTCTATGTTAAGGAACAAATAGTGCGGGCTGCAAGATCTATGCCTGATCCCTACACCAAATTAGCACTTTACAACGATCTCTCTGCAGACACATCGCAAGCCCGTAAGGATTTCTCACCAGTCACTTCGATCCTGATGGAACACAAAATCATTTATAAATGGGGGTTTCCTGTAAGGCTGCTAGTGACCTACCAGAACCAACAAGTCACTATTTAGACCCCCAAAGACAGAAGTAAAACAGCTACATAATTGGGGCTTAATTTCTTGTCCTCCTCCACCAACGTCTAAACCTAATCCATCTTAAAAAATTATCAACAGCTGGGACAAGCGAGATCCACCTTAATATCTTAACAGTGCCCTCCATACTAAAATGGAGCCAACTGCTGGATTGTACACTGCTTCAATTCACACTATGTGGAGGAGCGGGTATTTTGTTTATTTACCCCCATTCTCCATTATTGTTGTGTGCGAAGCATGCAGTTTTTCTTCAATTGTAACTTTGTCACAATTTACAAGGACTGATCCCATTTGAAATAGAAGGACATGCAGACTTATGTCTAGTGCCTTTAGATCCAAGATAGACCTCATGTCCCAGTTTTGGTTTTGGGTCTGCAAACCTGTCGAGTGTCTTACAATAATGAGGCCATAAGTTCTGCTCCAAGAGAAAATGCAAGGCAAAAGCCTGATAACTCTGCAACGAAAACAGAAGGTCCTAAAAAGGCATACTTAACCCATTAGGTTTCTGCTGCTAGAGACAGAGCAAGCCACCTCAGAGACTTCCCTAGTATCCTCTGGCCAAGATACTTCTCAAAAAACACAGCAGCCTCAGACTCTGTAGGGGAAAGGTTTACAGCACTTGGCCCATCCAAACAACAACCAGGGCTGACCCTGCTTGGCTTCAGAGTTCAATGTGACCAGGGTGATGTGGCCGCAGTACACTGCAGCTCCACCACCAGGAATAGCTGCAATGCAAGACAAAAAAAGCAGTGGCCCAGATACACCTGACACCACTGGTCTATCATGAAATGCGAATGCATCATGAAGTTGCGAATTTAACAACTATATATTGTCTCCTAACTATGCAGTCCTGCAGGTACAAAGCCATGTTGGGTTACAGTTATGCATTAAAGCATGCATAAGCAGTTTATGAAAGCATAAATATGCAGTTCCAATACTTATGCAGGTATGCATGCAATATTGTAATACAATGCTCCACCTGCGTGATTTCTAAAAGCCTATTTTATCAAAAAAATGGTCTCAAAATTGACTGCCCTTGGCCCCATACAGGTTTCAAAGGGCTAGTCAAGCACATATGCATCAAATGCAAGGTATTCTGTAGCAAAAACCCCTATAAGTGCACTGATATCGTTGCAGGAGTGCATCAGAAAACAGTTGCACAAGCTGCTCCCCCCCCCCCCCGGGATTCTGAAGACAGTGTAATCATGTCCTGTCTGGACATGCAGTTCCTCTACAGCTAGTACTCGCACATCATCCAGTCATAGACTGCCTCCTCTGCACAAACATTGGCTATATAGAGATACAGGGCGACCCCATGCCTGGAGAAAAAAAAAAAAACTGCAGTCTAGTACTCCTCCAGAGACACACAAAGTATCACAGAAGTCCAACCTGCACCTATCATGGCAGGCTTTGTCCTAGAAGATTTAAGGATTTGGTCCCCCTTACATCTGGGCTCCACCCCCTTTGACCTGTATAGCACCTTGCTGGAAAGCACCTTGGTCAGAACAAACTCTACCCCTAAGTGGTGACATTACTTTCCTGCACACTCCTAGTAAAACAATCCTAGGTGGCAGAAATACCATATTGATGTTAGGTACAAGTTCAGTAATGCACCTCTAGGCAACATCATTCCTGTACAGTAATCCAGTTCAGTAAAGCACCTCTAGGTGGCAGCATTATCATACTGCAAAAAGAACCCTTGTGGCAAACATTACTGCCACCAGGAGAGTGGTTTATAGGCACATTAAAGTAGAACATTAAATAAGTCATTTTAGGCCAATTATGGAATAAGCAGAATATTTACATGTGGTTACAATTATTACAAAAAGTTCCAGGCATGTGTAACAGAAGAAAGTTACCATACACTCTAAAAATGAAGTATAAAATAGACGCACATGGATATATACTGTACCACTAATGCCTGCCTAGCCTACTGCTTAAACTGTACTGTGAACTGCCACCATTCTACACAAGTGTTATGATGGAACAAAGGCATCTAAAAAACGAATAAATCATTATCAGACTATCAAAAAAAAAAAAAAAAAAAAAAAAAAAAAAAAAAAACAACAACAAGACCCGCTGGCCATTTTCCTGGTGTTGAAATAAACATTGCCATTTGCGGCAACTGAAGGGTAACCCTAAAATCACAGACTTAGAATGGTCACACAAAAATTGTGCAAAGATTTAATTTGTCCAATCACGGGAAAACAAAAATAGGATATTCTGACCTATACAATCCTTTTCCTGCAATACATTATGAGTATTCAGGTACAGTACATTGGGGTATATTGCTGCCTTCAGCAGATATGACACTGAAAAAAGAACAGCCCAGTATACCTTCCATGCCCAGCATTCCTCAGTTTTGTTGGCAAGCAAAGCAAGTCCCGGTCACATCAAAGCCAATTTTGAAATCGTGCAACTTAACAGTGAAGTTGCATGATATAAAAAAAAAGTGTCATGCCGATTTCAGGTGCAATTTGCAAGACATCTGACACAGATATCTATGCAAATCGCAAACAAAAGTAGTGCATGTACCACTTTAGAAATCAGTGCGGCTCTGACCAAGTTAGAACCGC